ATTTTTATCTAATCTGATATATTTTTTTACCTATCAGTATATTAGACTATGACTATTACTTTCACATCTTTTAGTTAATTTGTGTTTTCATCAAATTTTATATATTAAAATGAATTTTAATTTTCATGAAAATGGACATTTTAATAATGTAATATTATCCCTTCTCAGATAAAAATAATCAGATAATTGAAAATGATAAATGATATTTTATTATTTAGATTTTATTAAATAATTTGTAAATAAAATACTGCCCTAATTTTTGTCATCGAGGATAATTAGTCAATTTTTTTAAATATGTATTTTCAACTATCAAATGCTAGGAACACAAGGACGTTTAGATTTTTATGTTAAAAAAGAAAAGTAAATGTAAAACAGTAAATGAATAAAGCATTAAACTAATCAACTAAACTACATATGAATCTAGACTATGAAAGTGATAAAGGAAAACAGTACTTGAAAGTTGTAAATGCAATCAAAGGAAAGAACTATATTAAATCTACATCTACAAAGTTGTAAATAAATTAAAGAAGCATTGAAAAAAAAATTAAATAAAAAACATAATTGGAATGAGAACTAAAGTATAGTAGATTAAAAGTAAAGAATAAATTTGATAGAAAAATTGTGTCGACTCTCCGGTCATAAACTCGATTTTATGATTATTATTGATTTATAGAATTGTCTTCCAATAAAAAAAAATCCGCAATATTTTTAAACTAATACAATATAATTGAAATTTATAAACACAATTCAATTCCTAAATCAAACAATCACCTAAACCTAAAAATTGAATTCTATTATAAATGAAATATTCAATCAAATCAAACAATCACCTAAACCTAAAAATTGAATTCTATTATAAATGAAATATTCAATCAAATAATTTCAATTACATTGTAATATATTGTAATTGGTTAAAATAGTTAAGAACCAAATATAAATCATAGAAAATTAGTTGTAATCGATGAATCAACAACAAAAACAAATTAGAACATGATCGTGAAGTGAAAAATCAGAAAAAAAAATATATATATATATATATATATATATATATATATATATATGAAAACAAAGTAAAATAAATGGTACAAAAGTGGAAGAAGAAGATGAAAACGAAAATGAAAACAAAGAAATATGAGAAATGAAACAAATTTTATCAAAACCAACTTGAAATGATAATCTTCAAAGCATTATTTGTACAAAAAGTTTTATGAAAGACTTGGAAACTAAGTATCTTTAAGAAAAAAAAATTAGAGAGAGTTCATAATCTAAAACTATGAAAACTTAATATGACACTAAACTAGCTTAATTCAAGTTTAACTTGCTTAACTTATGTTTTTCAGCCTTCTAGAGTCTACTTATACAATAAAATTAAGGATTATTCAAGACTCATAATTAATCAATTACATAAGATAGAACTTGAATCAAGTTTTTGCATAATTGAGGTTTTACAACAAATTTACTTATCGATTCCTTATATGCTAAGCAAAGCTACTATTAAATAAGTTTATAAGAATTGACGCATTTTGTTTGATGGTTGTGCATTTCATTAGTGAATAACTTCAATTTTGTAATGAACTCTCGAGAATTATTTTTGGTGAACTATCAACATGATTTTCGATAAGCGAAATTTCTTTTATTAACATCAATCAGGAATGAAAAAGGGATAGGGCGGGCGAGGGTGAGTTTTACCTCCTAAGCTCCGTCTTTATCGGGTTTCGGGTTTTTCTGTCTTGACTCATCCTCAATTTACATTATTTAAAAATAATAATAATTTTACTTAAAACAAATTAAATTTAATATATTTTATATATAAATAAATATTTGTAATTTTAAATTTTATAATTAATTAAATATATACTTTAATTTATTATATTTATATTATAATATGTAGGTAAAATAAATATTTAATCATTTTTTGATACGATACCTAATACTTATAACATTATTATTATTATTATTATTATTATTGTAATCCTATATTCAAACATTTAATTACATATATAAGTTAATTATTTTTTAAGTTGTCATTTAAATTTTTTTATAAATATAAAATATATATTTTATAAAAAAATATTTAACAAGTTAATTCTTATTTAATTAGTTCAAATTAATAAAAAATTTAATTATCAATTCTTTTTAATTCTTCAAAATATAATTATTTTATTAAGATAAAATTTGACTATGATAAATCAAAATAATAAAATCTAAAAAACATGACATAATAAAACTAAATAAAGACAAATTAAAAATAAAATAATATTAGTTATGTAGAATATTTAGAAAAAGATAAAGAAAATAAAAAATAAACTTTATGTTCGTCAAATTGATTGAAGAGAATGAAAAGTTAAATTAATTGAAGAGATTAAGAAAATGTGAATAAGCAAAATGTTAGAAAAAAAAACTAATGTAATGAACTAATTAATCTAAAAGATTAAAAAAAGACAAAAAAATGAAAAATTGGTAGAAGAAAAATAAAAATGGTGAAATAAAAGAATGACCTTATATATAATATAAAAAGAAACAAAAATATTTTTAAAATATTGATATTTTAGGATTTGAATTTATATATAAAGTCGAGACAATGATGGAAATATGGTCATCTTTAACTTTTTAAAGCGAAAAAAACTTGAACTCACTTTCACCACTGATCAACTTGATTTTTTCTCATCAAACTCGAAACGAAGATGAATAGTCTCACGAATTTGAAATTAATTGTCATCCCTAATTTTATGGACTTTCGAGAATAATTTCGATGGACTATCTCCAAAGTTTCTTTAATTTTGACTTTTATAATTGATTTAATTTATATTTTTACAAAAATAAATAAATAATTAGTTAAAATATATAATTTAAACAATTAATTATATTTAGAAATTTATTTATTTTTATAAAAATTATATTAAATATTAATAATTAATTAAAAATATATATAATATTTTAATAAAATGATTGATAAAATGTATTTATTGCTAATAAACGAAATACTCTATCTTCAAATATATGAATTATTATTTCCATTTATGTTTATTTTACATTAGTTAATAACTATGAAAAATAAAATCTAGACGAATAATTACAACAACGGATCTAGTTTATAAATATTTGCATTAAGTTTATAATTTAAAATGTTTATATTATTATTATTTTTAAATTTTCGTTATTGATTTTTAATTTATGAAAATAAATATAAGTGGGTGGTACATATGTAAATAATTTGAAAAAATATATAAAAAATTAAAATCATTTATATATATATATATATATTATGTTTTAAAAACTTTTTTCTCTTTCTTATTTATATAAATATTTTCAAATTAAAATATTATTTATCTTTTGTGAACATCACTTTATTAAAATAGCTAATCTTAATAGTTAATAGAGTAATATTACGTCTATATGCATAATAAAGCGTGAATATATAATTAGAATATTAACTTTGGATTTCTCATCTTTTATTTATATATATATATATATATATATATATATATATATATATATATATATATATATATATATATATTCTGTCATTATTACTTTTTTATAGGAGTCAGGGATGATATAACATGATCAATTATAATTTTTTGTTTTTAATTTTATATATAAAAATAATTTAAGATTTTTTTCTTTTAAAAATTATAACGACCCTTTTTGTTTTTATTTCTGTCTCTCGTTTTTTAAAGTTATCAATAATACACCAACTTAACTATAATTTATTTTGAAAAAAAAATTGGTCCTTAAAAATGTAAATTAATATTAATTTACTCTATAGAAAATAAAAAATCTTATTCATTTTTTTTATGTACAAGAAGTACTATAATTACATTTAATATTAAATTTTATGAAACTATTTTATCATTAAACTATAATTCAATTTTCGTTGAACTGTATTTTTACGAATCCATTGGATATAAAGTTATAAACTATAATTCAATTCTTTGAGAAGGATGATTCCATTGTCTATGAGGCACCAAATTGCAATAAAAAAAGATTTTGGATATTAAATTATAAGAAAATAAAATTTACAAATTTTGTTTAAAGATGAAATAAAAAAAAGCAAAATAAAATACAAATTTAATTTTAAGGATAAATAAAAATAACAAGCAAAATAAAATTTAAAATATATGTGAAATCATGATGAAAAAATATAAAAGGGATTATTAACAAAAGTTGATTAACAATAAAAATTTGTTTAATAATAAAAATAAATATTTTTTATGAGTTTTACAGAGGTTTAAACTTATAACAAGTATTTAAAGTATTTATATAAGAAACTTTCTTCTAATTTTCTAATTTTAAGATTTTTTTCAAATTTTAACCGAATTAGATATGAAATCTATAATAAAATATTTATATTTATACCTAGATAATTTCATTAAAGATGCTATAAATCTTTATCTTTATCTTTTATATTTGGTTAAATCATTAATAAAATTAAAAAATAAGAAAATATCTATATATTGCAAAAATTTATGTCAAAATTTATAAATATAATTTAAATATTCTAAAAGGATAAAAACATTATCATTTTTAAATCCTATAAATTATGTCAAATAAAAATGTAAAATATAATTTGAATCAAATTGGTTTCACAATATTTAACAACAGAATATAATTACCATTTTTTTTTACATAAGTAAGAATTTTTATTCTTTAAAAAATTAAAATTACACCAATTTACATTTTTAAGATCAAAATAACCATTGATTTTTTTATTAAATAGTAAAATTCATTATATTATACATATGTCTATTTTTTTCTTTACTATTTTTATTTTTACATAAATTAAATAATTTAATTATCAAACTGTTATCTTTTATTTATCATTTATCTACTCATTTAATTTTATTCGATCCCTATGTTTTTCTTTCACTTAATTTTTTTTCTTTATTCATTATTTAAAACCAAACAAGCAAAGGTTTTGCATTCGCTGTTTCGAAACTACCAAAGACCTTCTCCTCTCTACGCTGCGCAGCAATTTCCCCCTCTTTCCGTCACAATCCATGGCGGCGTCAATGATGGAAGACGATGTGGAGTACAAGTTCGAGTGGGGCAAGAAGCGAGGCATGGGTGGGAAGAAGAGGGATGTGCAGTTCTACGAGTCCTTCACCTTGGAAGGCGTGCAATTCACCCTCAACGACGCTGTTTGTCTCCAAAACGAAAGTAGCGACGTGCCCCACATCGGAAAGCTCATCAAGATCTGGGAGAATCGCGATAAGTCCAGGAAAATCAAGGTGCAGTGGTTCTTCCGCCGCAGCGATATTCTGACGTACTTGGAAGGGATCCAAACCAAGCAGAACGAGTTGTTTCTGGCGTGTGGTGACGGCAAGGGCTTCGCCAATGTCAATCCTTTTGTAAGTTTCCGTTTCTGAACCTCTTCTTCGTCGTTTAGGATATTGTTCTGTCGTTTTGAGTGTTGTTAGCTATTTTGCCGTCGTTGTGAATTTTTGCTTCTTGATTGCACCAGGAAGCTATTGTTGGAAAATGCAACGTTGTTTATATGTCTAAGAGCACCGTGGATTCGCAACCGTCAGAAGAAGCAAAGGCTGGTTTCGTGTGTTACCGTTTCTTTGATGTTGTCCAACGCAAGGTAGTGGATGAGATAGATAACAAGACGGTTGGAACCGAAGGAATTAGGTGATATTGGTTTTGATGTCATCGTAAAAAATTATCATTTGTTTCAGTTTAAAAAGTTTTCTATTTTATAAAACCAGCGTATATTACATTCATTTAAAAAGTATTTTATTTTTATTTCATTTTAAATTTTATGGAAAGATATAATACAAAGTTAATAACAAATACATAATATAAAATTAAAAATATATTACAATCAGAAGTAAAATAAATGTAATTAAAATTGTTTATCTATAAGTAAAACATTGTATGAGTTTAAAATTTATGAAAAGTTAAAATTTAAAATATTCTCACAACATATGTTATAGCTAAATAAATAGTGCATAAAATTAAAATTTATGTACCATATAAATATGTTTAATTTTGTCAACACTTATAATTTTACACTAACTAGTTTTACCAAACATAATCATTGTTAACTAGAAATAAATTATCATACATATTTTTAATTTATTGTAAAATATATTATTACAGATAATTCAAACAAAATAAACATCTTAAAGTTACTTTGCAAAGAAATAATTTAAATATAAAATATATATTTCATATAATTAATTATGATAATAAATATAGTCATAATTGCTTATTCAAATCTTTTCTAAGAATAATTTGATTTTCAGAATAGTTAAAATGATTAAAAAATGTTATAAATAAATTAAGATTACTGTAATTTTGTTTAAGGGTATTTATTAGGGTGGGTAATTTAATGAACCAATTCGATCTTATATAATCTAAACAAATGAATAAAAATAATTAAGTAATATTAATATTGTTGATAATAAAAGTATAATTATTACGTAATTTATTTAATTATTATATTAAATAAGTATATATTTGAAATATTAAATAATATAATATATTTTTGAAAAAATTATTTTAAAATATTTAATCAACAATGTTTTGAAATTAAAATTGATAGTAAAATATTTTTTTTAAACTATAAACTCGTTCAACTTTAAACTAATTCGATTTGATGGAAGATAAATTGAATTAAGACCAAGTAAAAAATATATATCACTACAAGAAAATCTTATATTACTGACGTCGTCGAGAAAATAAACGATTATCAACGAATTTAGATTAGTTATAGAATTTGATCTTACCGCCAAATATATCCGTCAGTAAATGAACAATTAATTACCGATGAATATATCCATCGATAAATTTGTCGGTAAATGAATAATTAAATATTGACGAATTTATCCATCGATAAATTAACAATTTTAATAAATAAACAATTAGTTACCGATGGATATATCCGTTGATAAATTAACAATTAGTTACCCATGAATTTAAAGTATATTTTTAAAAATCAATATTAAATTAAAAAAGTAAATATTTAAAACTATATAATAATTACTTAATTTTAAATATATTTTAATAAATTAATTATTCACCTAATTATAAAATTAAATACTTTTTTATTTAATAATTTAATTTAATCATAATTAGATTAATTTATAATAATTTGTTAGATTAAAAAAATTTTAAAAATAAATATTTAAGTATTTTTAATATTGAAAAATTTATTTTAATATAATAATTTTAATTAAATAATAGAAGAAAAAAGATAAATATATAAATATATTAAAATATATAAATATATAACTATATAAATATATAAATATTTGAAAACCTACTCGACACACACTTGCACCTCGAATGCGTCATTACATCAAACATATAAATATATAAATATATAAATATATTTGTATTTATATATTTTATATTTATATATTTACACTGAATATATATTTATTTATATATAAATATAATTTATTTATAAGTTTTTATAATAAAATTTTAGTAGTTTAGTGGTTAGAGTATCAATTTTCAACTCTAAGATACTAAATTTAAATTCTGCAAGTGACAATTCTTTTAATTCAAAATTTTAAAAAATGTATTTACCGACATTTTTATAAATAGAGAGATTATAAATAAAAATGTGTGATATTTTAAATTCAGTCGATGATATATATTTACTGATAAATTTTGTCTGTTCAAAAATTCAATTTTTTTTATAATATATATAAAATCATAAGTAAATAAAGAACACATTTAAAGAATAAAAATACTTGGTGAGAGAATTAATTGGGCACATAAGAGTTGACTTGTGCAGAATAACGATCCCCTCTAACGGACATATTTGGGTTGCATATTATGCAGTGTTGTTGGAATACAAAATAAATTATTTTTCTTACATTCAAAGCACCATTGTGAACACAGCCTGAGGGACAGAGAGGCAGCGGCTATCAAAGGATGACCCTTTCGGCGCTCTTACTTTAACATCACTCCTTTTCAAACAAACCCAAATATTCATCACTATATAATAAAATAGTATCATTTTAATTATTATGAATTATTTTGTTACACCTATTCTAAAGAAACTAGATTATAAGATTAAATATTATTATGAAGTCTCAACTAAATTTAAAACGAAACTCGAATTCAACTGTCAGATATTTGTGAGGTTATTTTTACGATTCTTCATAAGCAATTTGTACCAAAAATATTGAAAGTTATTTTTGATGATTCTTGAAAAGTGGTTGATGAGTAGGAGACACTTGGTAGCCGCCACAGGAGTGGTCCACGTAGCAAATGATAAGAACGCGCCGTTTGAGAAAGTAAGACTTAAGCTTTCAACAATCTTGGTAGTTAGTTAGAAGTTGAAGAGAGAGTCCATAAAGAAAAAGCCTACCTCACTCTTTCCTCCTTCACCCCAAACCCCAATAATTTATACATAATATACCCATATTTCACACTACCTACATCATACTGTCATGTGACATGTCTCATGTAAAAAGAAGAAGAAGTACTCTCTACCTTGTAGCATTGCTCTAAAGGGTTGTTCATTAAGGGTCATTGAAGGAAACTTTGGTGGTGGTGGTGGTGGTGTTGGTGTAGTTGAAGCAAATGGATGTGAGGAAGTATTGGTTGTTCAGTTCAAGTTCAAGCAGCACAAGCATTGAAAGCATAAGGCTGGGTCGGAGCTACACGAAACCACACTCTCAGAGGCACCGTGATGGCACGAAGCAAGTGTGGCAAATGCTTTGGAGAAAAATCAAAAGGGATAAACAGAAGAAAGGGTTTGGGATTTATGACCCGGAATCATACTCCATGAACTTCGATCATGGAACTGCGTGGATGGAGCCTGATAACCTCCCTCGCTCCTTCTCTTCACGGTATGCTGACCCATCTAGGATCCTACCTCCCACACATTTGTTGGATTGATTAATCATGTTTACAAATCTAAAAACCAGCAATTTTTCTTTCATCTTCTTTTTGTTTACTTTGTTATATAACTACACTTTCCTTCAACCATCTTTCTTTTCTTCTCTCCATAACTAGGTAGTATTCATCTCATTCCTTTTGATTTTTCTCTCTGGGTTTTGTAGTTTAGATGAAACTTATTACCAAAATCTAATAAACTGTAATATAGCAGATAATTCCAGTCACAATTTTTCAGGCAAATAAAACGGAGATAAAACCTTATGTAAGTGTTTCTTAAAATTTGAATCTTGGCAGTATCATTTAGAACTTACCATTTTAATGGGATTGTTGAATCTATTATTACTTGGATTAATAAGTTGGAAAAAAAAGTCTAAGTAATTATTTAAGTGTGTTTACAAAAAATGTGTCTACCTTCCTTTCAGAACAAGAAAAGAAAGACGAATTGAGTTGTGGTTGTGGAAGTTGCGGATAACAAAAAAAAAAAAAGAATCTTTTGTAGTACCTACCTACATGTTCTTTGCTTGCTAGTCTAATACACAGAATATGAACCATAACTGTTGGTGTCATCATCAAAATTATACTTCATTGTTGTGTAAAAAAGTGGCCCTTTGCTGACAGTTTAAATGCTCCAATTTATTGGATAAAATTATAGCATGTTTGGTTTGATGTTTTTGGAATCTATAATTCGCATTTTAAATATTACAAAAAAATATTTAAAATATTTTTAGCTTAAATTTCGATAAGACGCTATGCATTTAGTTTCACACACTCATATATAAGATAATTATTAAAATAAATATAATAATAATAATAATAATAATAATAATAATAATAATAAAATACTAGCAAATAACATTATAAAATAATATTTGTTTATTATTTTTCATCCCTTTCGACCCGTCGTCATACCTAATAGACAATGACTAATTAATTTCATTCGGAACATTGTTTTAAACTTAAAAAAAAAAAAAAAGACATTGGTATAATTGAATTTGATACAAAGTTGTATTTTTATGTTGAGATTTTACATAATGTTGGATCAGTGAATGAAATTAACGGAATAAAAGAGAAATTTTAATAAATATCAAAGATAATTTATTGAAAGAGAAAAGATGGTCTTGGATGGAAAAAAAACTTCAAAAAAGAAATATTCAAAAACTTCATTTAAACATAATAGTCAAAGATAAAAACGAAGATAAAAACGAAGATGATAGTCAAAGATAAAAAAGAAGATGAAGAATGAGTTTGACAAAAGAAAACAAAATTTTTCTAGTCCAAATAAGTCAAATGTCAATGTTAAACTTCCTAAATTCCATGTTTAATAGTTATTATAAGACATACTTTATTTAATGTAGTAATTGTTTCGGTTGAAGATGAAAGTCTGATATTTGTTATTATTTAATGTCTAGAATGTAATATGCAATTTATTAATTTAACCTTTAATATCATACTATTTTTATATTATTAGGATAAACTATGATACCATTTTATAAATAGGATATGAGTTTAGCAAATATAGCCTAGGTAAAGAACAATTTTGATTAATCTTGAATTGTCATGAAATGTATAGTCAAAGCTTTTTTTATTTGCCCAATGTGAATTGAAATATATATTTATTTTTATTATAAAATAAATTATTTGATAATTATATAAAATCTTAATAAATATAATATCCAATTTTTTTTTCTTAGATTTATAAACAATGCTAATGGAGATCATTTAACATATAAAAATTTCTTCAATTTGAATTTTTAATTATGTTTTTTTTTATCATGTAACTTAGTGAGACTTTTCTACACACTTCCTTACTAATTCCTCACGTGAAAAAATATTTTCTACATTACTGTAATGGTAATCCAAATTTGTTGTAAAACATAACAATATTAAAAAAAGGTGTTAATTTTGGTTATAGTAGCAAACATCTATGTATAATGAACTCTATATGATTGAGTATGTTATTTTGTTAAAAATTTTAATTTAAATCATTTTATTATTTCATTGACTTTGTATTTAATTATGTAAATTCATTTACATTTATATTTTTTTAAGTGAGTAATAATAAGGATTTATGTTTAATTTTCTGATAAGAGTCTATTTCTTCACTAAAAAAAAAAATTATTATCTACGGGCAAAAATCCGTAGGTAATGACAAAAATCTATAAGTAATGTCATTTTAACTACGGATAGTAGGATCCATATGTAATCTGATCGTAGGTAATTTACCTACGAAATTACTATTCGTAGGTAATACCATTTGTGGGTAATTGACCGTAGGTAATTACCTATGGATTATAATCCGTAGGTAATGCACTCGCTTGAACAAAATATTTTTATTTACTACAAATAATCCCCATATTTTTTATTATTACCTAGGACCCTCTCCCCTTTATATTATATTTTTAGAACTTTGAATTATTATCAGAATTACTATTCGTAGGTAATACCATCCATGAGTAATTGACCGTAGGTAATGCACTCACTTGAACAAAATATTTTTATTTACTACAAATTTCCCTTTATATTATATTCTTAGAACTTTGAATTATTATCATAATTACTGTTCATAGGTAATACCATCCGTGGATAATTGACCATATGTAATTACCTACGGATTATAATCCGTAGGTAATGTACTTGCTTGAACAAAATATTTTTATTTACCACAAATTTCCCTTTATATTAGGTAATTACCTACTGATTATAATCGAGTAGGTAATGCACTCGCTTGAACAAAATGTTTTTATTTAAATACAAATTTCCCTTTATATTATATTTTTATTATAGGTAATACCATCCGTGGGTAATTGATCAGTAGGTAATTACGTACGGATTATAATCCGTAGGTAATGCACTCGCTTGAACAAAATATTTTTATTTACTACAAATTTCCCTTTATATTAGGTAATTACGTACGAATTATAATCCGTAAGTAATGCACTCACTTGAACAAAATATTTTTATTTAAATACAAATTCCCCTTTATATTATATTTTTAGAACTTTGAATTATTATCGGATTAACGAAATTGTCGGGTAATGCATTTGCTTTAACAAAATATTTTTATTTAAATAAAAATTTCCCTTTATATTATATTTTTTGAACTTTGAATTATTATCCAGTGTAAATATATAAATATATAAATATAAAATATATAAATATAAAATACATAAATACAAATATATTTATATTTTGATATATATTGATATATTTATATATTTATATATTTATATATTTGTATATTTATATATTTATATATTTATATATTGGTATATTTATATATTTGTATATTTGTATATTTATATATTTGTATATTTATATATTTATATATTTGTATATTTATATATTTGTATATTTATATATTTGTATATTTATATTTGTATATTTATATTTGTATATTTATATATTTGTATATTTATATATTTGTATATTTGTATATTTGTATATTTGTATATTTCTATATTTCTATATTTCTATATTTATATATTTCTATATTTCTATATTTATATATTTATATATTTATATATTTATATATTTATATATTTATATATTTATACATTTATATATTTATACATTTATATATTTATACATTTATATATTTATACATTTATATATTTATATATTTATATTTTTATATATTTATATATTTATATATTTATATATTTATATTTTATATTTTATATTTTATATTTATATATTTACACAAATAAATATAAATATAATTTATTTGTAAGTTATTATTAGAATATCCTAATAGCTTAGTTGTTGGGCTATCGACTTTCAATTTCAAGGTATTGGCTTGATTCCTGCCAGATGACAATTCTTTTAATTTAATATAATTTACCTACGGAATTACCTACCGATATCCGTAGGTAATGGATAACTTACATATGAATATCCGTAGGTAATGAATAACTTACATACGAGATAGAATTTCGTAGGTAATATGTAATGTATTTTAATTTCGTAGGTAATATCTATGTGTAATAAGCATTTAAATTTTCCATTATAAAAAATATAAATTTACAATCTTTGACGTTATTTATATATATTTGTTATTATTTATTATTATATAAATTTTATTATCGTTCTAAATTATAATTTCTTAAAACAATGTGTTGATTTATATTATTAACTTGAAATATATATGTTGAATTATTGATAAATAAATAATAATTTTATTATTAAATTTATTAAAAATTTTGATTTAAAAAATAATTAATTTTTTTTTAATTATGGTGGGTTAACCCGCTGATCATGTCAACCGACCCTTTGACAGGATGGACAAAGATTTACAATTCGTCATGATTATAGTGGATCAATCTGCCTGTCTCATTTTCAATGGAAATACCGATAGACAAAATCCGTCGATAACAAAAAAAATCCGTCGGTAAATAGATATTACCGATAACCAAAAAATTGTCAAAAATTGGATTGTCGGTAAATATTACCGACAAATTTAAATAATCCGATAATTATCGATGGATAAATCCGTTGGAACCTTCCGTGGGTAATTACCGATGGACAAATCTGTCGGAAAATGTTGCAGGTAAATGTTGTAGGTCATTACCGATGGATATATCCATCAGAAAATGTTGTACGTCATTACTGACAGATATATCCGTCAGTAATATATTAATTTCATCCTATTTCAAATTAATTTTTCAATATACCATTTTCCCTGCATAATATCACACATTTTATATCAGAGGCAACACCAAATCCAGTTCCATGCTTTCGTATCAAATTCAACTTAAATATAAGATAAATAACCTCAATTGAAATCAAACATAGTTCAAATAACCTCAATTCAAACAAATGACATATAGTTCAAACTATCTATAATGAAACTTAATGTGCAAGAATAACTATGGTTAGAAAGTAGAATAATGTAAAATACAATATTATTTGACCAAATATCTAATAATGGGAATAATCAAGAGATTCTTGTCCTTGTTGTGTATTGCCTTGTTGTTCTGGGTTGTCTTCTTCTTGTTGAGGTT